CCCCAAAACCCCAAAACCCCAAAACCCCAAAACCCCGAGATTTGGGCCAGTGGTTGAATTTTTGAGGAGTAGTTTTGATTGATGATGGGGGAAGAAGGATTTTGAGAGATTTTATGAAGGAATTGCTAGCTAAATGGGGCTCTTGGAGGTTGTGCGAGGAGATAAGAGATTTGAACGGCTGTAATTTCTGACTGTTTTTAGAGCCATTGCTTTGGACAACTTGTTTCTCTTAGCCTCTAAAATTTGAGAATGATTTACTTTCTAGCATTTCCCTCTTAATTCTGCAAAACTCTTGTTTGTATTCCTGCAAGCTAATACCTAGATGTATTACAATTATAGAATACCTTCTGGAATTTTATCGTAATAGTCATCTACTTTCTTCATTGCCTATAAAATTTATGAAATAGTCTGATAGATATTAATAAGGAAATTTCTGGAAAACTCTCCACATAGAAAAGATGATATAGCTAACCTTTTGGGTTTTCTTGATTCTTGACTTGAGTTCACTTTGTCTTTTCAGCTACAAGTAATTATGAACACAAACATTAATGGAGTTATTGATGCTAATCATTCTTTCAGAGAGCTTATAATTCTGCGAAATCCAGTCGAACATGTCGTAATTTGGGTTTTCTGGCACCTCGAATTGCATTTTAGGGTGCTGCTTCTTGATCCTATCAACGTACTTGTGCAAGTCATCTAGAAGAAGAAGTTTGAGAAAAGGGATAAAATAGCATGATTACTTCTATTTCCGATATTTTAAAGGATTGTCAGTGCTCTCAAGGTCAAAGATATTATTTGGTTCTCACTAATTTTGACGCTGTCACTGACTTTCTAGAGGGGTTGTGGCTCGTGAACATTCTCACTTTCGATTGTGCTGTTAGGAGTTTTCTCCTTGGAATTGGGTTTTTGAAATTATTTCATAGTTCTAATAAGAATTAGGGAATTAAGTATGAGCGCCAACTTACCTTTTTGAGAATTCATGCGCTTTATACTCCTATTTCTCTGGCTAGTCTTGCTTATTCGAGACATAGATTTAGCTTTAATGTAGATCACTCCAAGATTCCCATAGGTTAAAATTGAATCAGACTTCTTCATTTTCAATATTATAAATGATAAAAGGGGTTTTGGGGTTTTGGGGTTTTGGGGTTTTGGGG